TGGTGCTGTGGGTTAATGTACTGGACTGCAAATCAGTTTGAACTGCAAGGTCAGCAGTTGAAGCTCATTCGCCTATTCTCGGAAACACTATACAGGGTCCCTATGAGTCAGAATCAATTCAATGGCACTTAAGCACAACAACATACACATGCGCATATATATTTGTGTCCTTCCAAAAACTTTCAAGAGGGGTTATCTCTGAGGCAAAGATCTAAATAATCATGGAGAGGAGACGATACATTTAAATTTCTTTTATCTTATTCCTGTCTATAATTTTTATTTAATTTTTTAACCAAGAGCATGGAAAACCTTTAAAGTTGATGAAAATCTATTACAAAGAATACGTAATAATTTATTCTGAAAGCTAAGATGATTTTGTGGAAATCATTTTCTGTAGAAAAAAAAGTGAAAAGTCTAGGCTTGATTTGCCTGCAAAAGAAAAGAACTAGACTTTGTGTTATTAAGTGCTGTCAAGTCGGTTCCAACTCACAGCAACCCGGACAAGGGTTTCCAAGGAGCAGCTGGTGAGCTTGAACGGCCGACCTTGTCTAGGAAGAGGAAAAAAAGAATCAGCTCCCAAATTTTCAAAGGGTTGCCTGTGGAAGAAGGATTGCACTTTTTAATACCTTGAGAGCAAACTAGGGTCAAATGATAAGGTTACAGGAGGGCTGACTTTGCCTAAGTAAAAGAAAGATTACTGAAGAGAGCACCCAAAGGTACTGTGTCAGGAGGTGGGGAGAGCTCCATCTAGGTGCTCATCATAGAGTACAGGACCATCTTACTGAGACTCAGTTCAAGGAATTCCTCTTCCAAGTCTATAAAACCTGGAAGTCTCTAAGTCTCTGAAATTTGGCTATTAGATGGACATGTCTTGCTCTGGTATCTAGTATCTAGTATCTAGTGCATCCTTAAATGGTCATGCAGAAAAATTCAAATTAAGATGTTGTTCATTGCTGTTGAGTCAATTCTAATTCATATTAAATATGTCAGGTAAGTCAACTTTGCCTTCAACTTTTGAGACCCTGAAATAGGCAGCTATCCCTAAGTAAGGCTTTACCAGTTGCCACAGAGTCCACTCTGACTCATGGCGACTCCCTGTGTTGCTAAGTAGGAAACTGTGTTGCATAGTTTGGAAGCAGCTCACCAGGCATTGAGTTTGAACCACCAATCTTTCAGTCAGTAGTTGGGAGTTTAGCCATTTACGCCACCCAGGGACTCCTAAAGTAAGGATGACAAGTTATGATATTTCATTTAAGTATGAAGGTATTCAAACAAATATTTAACAATGTTAAAGCTTGGTTCAAACTTCGGAGGCTATGTTTAAACCCGATCTAAAATAGTATTTGTTAAAGAAAACTTTGTTTTCAACCAGATTCACATTAAACATATAAGGACGTGAGCATGCTTCTGATACTAATATTTTAAGGCTCCATTAAAATCTCTTTCCAGATTGGACTGTTCATTATATGGCTTGTCTTTATGGACTTGGTAAACTGAGCCTAATATCAGAATACTTCAGTGGCTTACGATGGAGAGTTCCACTTTTGTGGATTCTACTTTGTCTGGAAGGTACAATACATGCAAAAGAAGGGTTTTCTAAACTAATAATTGGGATAGTACCAGTGGCATTTGGGAGTTCTAAATGACAATCTTTTCCGAGACTCATTGGAATGAAGAGAAAGTGATCCAGGGAAGGCAGAGATCTAAAAGACACATAGGTTAGGGAAGTGTTCTGGAATCTGCCACTTGAGAGTGTGTTGACATAGAAAGTCATTACATTTCTCAGAACATCTGTTACCCTTTTATCTAAAAACAGGGGGGAGAGCAAAGTAGATAAATGTTTCTAATTCAGCCATCAGCTGAAATCATATCTACACAGAAAGACATTTTAAAGAAAAACTCAGGTATTAGAATTTGAAGCCTGAATCTGGTTATCATAAACAATTGCTTTACCTTGCACAAGTCCCCCATCCTCTTGAAGAATCAGTTTCTTCATCTGATACATCAGAATGGCACAAAGAGCAAAGGGAAGAAAAGGGCAAATGTATTCTCATGTTGTTCTAAGCCTCAGAGCAAAACTCTAAGATAAAAGCAGCTATTACGAATTTTTTTAAAATAAGTATGTGGAACAGGCTTAAAGATGTTACTAGGTTTTCAAGCTAGTAACAATAGTGCAGAGGTTAGATCCAAAGTTTTAAAAGACACATGGTTGCTTACTCTATCTGTTTAATACATTTTGAGAGAAATTAAATATGGTAAGTATCCAAGTGTTCTATTTTGATTAAATTGTTATAGTGGTATCAGTTATTGTCAAGATTAAGGTTTAAATTCCCTAGAGAGACTTCCATGTATATATTTTTCCCATTCATAAGCATTTCTGTCAGAGAAAAAGCCTCCATAAACCACCAATTCTATCCAGGCTGTCAGAGTCTATCAGTTGAAAAAATGAGCAGATTACCACTGCTGCTTTAGAAATGATCCATGATTTTAATTAAAAATCCTAAATAAATGGTTACATTTACACTGCACAAGGCCATACATGGAGGATCTTAGAAGAAAAACTATAATTAGACGAGGCAGATTAGTAAATTACACTTGCTATCCAAGCAAAGAAAGCCCATTCTCAGGGCCCAACTCTTCATCCAAACAGAATAAACACAGGCACCAGTATAGTCATAAAATACATTATGCTACTGCACTAGTGAAACAAAGCCACGCCATGCCCATGGGAAGGGAAGCCCTGCAACCTCCAAAGACTGTTAGTTTCATCAACTTGAAGAAGCAATTTCTGACAATAACACTTTCGAGATAACAGTATTCTAAATGAAAATGCTTCCACATTACAACCATATTTAAACAAGGCATTTCATTCTCCTGCTCTAAATTTATTGAAAAACTTTGATTTGATGAAAAGGACAAACCCTCAAAAACAGGAGCTTTAGGCTGCCATGTGTGGGAGTCCCTGAGTGGTGCAAGTGATTAAACCCAGACCTTGTGTGGCTCTGTGGGATACAGCACTCGACTGCAAGGTCAGTTTGAACCACAAGGTCGGTGGTTCAAACTCATCAGCTGCTCCTTGAAAACTCTCTACAAGGTCACTATGAGGCGGATCTGACTCAACACCACTTAACAACAACAAATGATCCAAAGGGTTGGAGATTTAAGTTCACCCAGAGGCACCTCAGAAGAATAGCCAGTAATCTCTTTCTGAAAAATCAGACATTAGAGTAATCAACTCTATAGCAACTGATTTAGGGTTTTTTGTTTGTTTGGCCCTGTTTTAGTTGCTGTCCCTACTGAATGATGCTCCCCTCTACACAATTGTCTCATTCACCACTGTATTCTACAAAGTGCTTAGCAAAGGGCCTGGTACATAGCAGGGCTTAGGAAATATATGTTACACTTTTTCTAGATTATAACATATTTTACAACAAATCTAACTCTTAAAATCACAGTCCCAAAGAAGAATGAAATGCTTGAGATGTCACATTTCATTCATTTTTTAAAAATGGGATTCTTTCACACTTATTTTGAATGTGTTCACGTTCATTTATTTATTTACATGCCTACCATGTACCCAAAAGTGTTATAGTGGCATTCAGAATACATGAATCCTTTTAAAGATCTAACAGGAGACCACATCCATAAAAAAGATAATTTGTACTTTGATATAACACATCTTTGGAAAACATAAATCAAATAATCACATACAACATCAGTAGCAAAGTCCTGAAACCATCAGTCCCTTGGGGATGATAGTTGCTTTATTTAAAATAGCCATTTGAGAGGATCCCACCTATACCTACGTAACTTCAGCAAGACTTTGTATGGGAAATTTATTTTTCAGCTCAGAGTATCTGAATATCTGTGAATAATTTTTCACCACTTATGAGATCAGGAACACAAAAAAATGGTAGTCCAGGGAGGCTATTACATGATTAAAGGAAATAAGCATTTGTTTGTAAAGTATGGATAGTAAATTCAATTGGGTTTCATCACTGCCCAGACAACCCAACATGAAGATTTCCTTTGGAGTCCTCAGTTGTCCAATATTAATATTACTAGTGTAAAACAAATGATTGAGCACTTCAACTATACATTATCTTTACGTAAACCATCCTGGTTCCCTGAAAAGATAAGCAAACATCTATATTAATACTCCTGGTCCGGTAAAGATATGTTAAATGACTGTTTTTTTCTATGAAAATTGCTAAAAGAACATTTTTTTTTTAAAAATCCAACTTGCTAAAATTCTGTATAAAAGATGGTTGCAAGCCCAGATACAAAGTTTAAAGGCATTTCCATTTTCCCTGCATGTAAAGGGTAATAAAATATTCGTACAATCAAAGTAAAAAGATAAACAAAACCAAAGCCAAAGCAGATCAAATAAATTTCATTGTGCAAATCATAAAAGCTGAGTAAAAGGATTCTAGATCTCAGGTAAAAACTGCCCGAGAAAGGTAAGTAACAGCATTAACTTGAGCACAGAAAAGAGTTAAGACGTGGCAACGCTTTACAGGATTTCAAATAAAAGCAGAAATACGAGAAGAATAACAATTGGGATAAATACCGTCCACAGGCTGCAAAAACAATCAACGCATTTGCTCCTTCACCTCTCTCCCTCAACTAGCTGGGTTGTGAAAGCAGCTGCTGCTCCCGCCCTCCTTCCAAGCCTCTCTTCGCGCCACCCCCTCCCCGGTCCTCTCTACTCTTCCCCTCCCCTTTCACTCCCCCACCCTGCCCCTAGCTGGCTAGTCAGCAGCCTAGAGAGATTAAGAGGTGTTCGCTGTTGTCACTGGGCCTCTGGACTGATCTAACGTTTCCTACTCCCTGGACCAAAGAAATAAGAGACACGACACCCTGGTCGTATTAGATGCCCTCTCCTTCTTCCTGGCCCCCTCCCAGACCAGGGCTGGAGTGGGAGCCTAGAGCTAGTCTGCTGGGCCCCAAGTGGAGGGCCCGGCGTAACTCCCGGCTGCGCTCCCAGCAAGCAGCGCTACCTGAGCTGTCCATGGTGCTGGCGAGGTCCGGAGGATGCCGGGCGGGACTCCACGCCGCCGCCACCCCGGCATTCACTCTCTGCTTGCCGCCACCCCCGCCGTTCCCCGCACTTAAGTCCCCGTTACTGTCCACCAGCTGCAAGGATTCATAACCATCGTTGCTGGTCTTTTTCCGGTAGCTCCCGAGGAGGCTCATGGGCAAGCCCAGAGAGTGAAAACAAATCACCTGGGAGAGGAAGAGGAAGGTGAGAGGTGGAAAGGGATGAAGGAAGAATTAAAAACAAAAAGAAAAGAAATCAAGTGCCCGACATGACGCAAAAGAGGAGGGAAAAGAGGGAGCGGCCACCAGAGAGGAGCTGAGCAGGGCTAGTCGAAGCCGCCGCCCAGGGCAGAGCGCGGCTCGGGGCGCCGAGAGCGAGGGAAGGAAGGAGGGAGAACGCTGCGAGCGGGTGCGCGCGTCCTCTGTGCAGTCGCTAAGCCGCCGGCCCTGCCGAGCTCCGGGCCCCGGGCCAGCTACCCTCTGGCTGGGGAGTGCCCGGAAGCAATCCTATAGGTGTCGCCGCGTAGCCCCGCCGCGCAGCAGGGCAGCTCCATGCGTGGCTAGCCCGGGGGGAGGGAAGAAAGGGAGGGGAGATTCACGCGAGTGGGGACTGAAGGCGGAAAACGGAGCGGGGAGGGAGAGGGAGGGGTCTACTACAACAGGGGGAGGAGGCTGTTGTTGCGCGAGTAGCAAATAAGTAAGGGATGGGTGTTTCTGACCTGAGAGCTTTGGGTACAAGGGGTCTCTTGGTAAGATCCAGACACGCCCATTTCGTATAACTTAGCCTATATTTGCTGGAAGATTCTGCAAGTCAAAGCTACCGGATGGTAACCATCCTCGAGGACTGACTTGTAACTCAACTGAACTCAAGAAATAATGTGGTATATTAGAATACAAAGAAACAGAACTACTTTCTGCACTTTCTGCAGAATGGGAATGAATTCTATGTTAGACATCCAACAGTGGGCTATCCTAACTCTATAGTTAGGGTTCATTCCCATCTAGTGCAGCGATGTGATGTCTTAGTCTTTGCTGGAGAAGGGCTAAGGTTGAGTCAGGTGCAACTTCAGATCTGACATCATTTACTTTGGGACCTGAAGAATGGTCTATACCACTCAGTTGGATGGAGAAAAAGAGAGAGAGAGAAAGGATTTTCTCTCAGTTCTCTAGCTCCACTTTACCCCCTCCAGTTGTTTTTTGCTTTTTTAAAATATATATAAAATTATGGGCAAAGAAGGCAATCACAAATTATCAGAGGAGAATGTATTACAAAGTTAACTAAGCTCAAGCATCAAAGCCCCCCCCCTTCTTTTTCAGAATCTCATTTCAAGACTGTGTCAACTTTACATGCATAATTTTGTATTCTCACTCTTAAAGAGGATCCCAACACTTCAAGTGCCAAGCCTCACAAAAACCTGGATATAATTCCGTGAAGTATCAAAATGCAACCACAAAATGTTCATTTTTACCTGAAATTTTAAGATTATAGAAGACAACCTCATTCTCAAATAAGACAACTCAAAACGAGGAGAAACAGCTGCAAATATCCACTAATAATCAGAACACAGAATGTATAAGATATGAATCTAGTAAAATTGGAAGTGGTCAAAATGGAAATGAAATGCATAAAGAGCAATATCCTAGGCATTAGTAAATTGAAATTAACTGGAATTAGCCATTTTAAATCACATGGTCATATGGTCAACTATTCTGGAAATGGCAAATTGAAGAGGAATTAGGTCACATTCATCATCAAAAAGAACATTTCAAAATCTATTCTGAAGTAAAATGCTGTCAGTGATAGAATAATATCCATACACCTAGATGGAAAGTCAGTCAAATTTACACACCAACCACTACTATCAAATTTACACACCAACCACTAATATCAAAGATGAGGAAATTGAAGAGTTCTACCAACTTCACTACAACCTTGCTTGCTGAAAGTGAAGAGGATTTAAAATATTTACTGATGAAGATCAAAGAGCACAGCCTTACGTATGGATTACAACTCAATGTAAAGAAAACAAAAATCCTCACCATTGGACCAATAAACAGCATTCTTATCAATGGAGAAGAGATTG